CGGCATATTACATGACATGCTGACAGCCGAGTGTAGTGGAAGACACCACCTCCTGCTGAGTGATTTCATAAACGTCGTCTTCTTTCTTTAAGACCGCTGAAGATCACCTGCCTAAAATGCCCTCGCCCTTTTGACGGGCTAGCAACCAACATAAACAATTTTCTATTATTATTAGTTTTCATAATTGATTATTTTGTTCATAAAATCATTGATGCGGAACAAAGTGTAACATACGAATAGGTGGACAGAATTTTAGCTAGCAGTAGGCCTACTAGAAACAAGTGTCAAAAGACGAGTCAAATGAATTTTCGTTGGTGTAGCAAAGAAAAGGTGAAGTGTACGTATATACATATATTGTATGTATATTTGTTTGTGTCCAAAAAATGCAGTATTGAGAAATCATTGCACAGGCCGTGTGTAACTGTAAGCGCACGGGCAAAAGTGATCGTATTGGCCCTTACACTGTCGGCTACAAAATCACAGCAAAGCACTTATGCAGCGGCACTTTTTCTGTTGAGCATTAGCCGAAATCGACATTGTGAGCATGTACTGAGCAAATTGGATGTAAATTAATTTGAAATTTATTTAACACCCTCTACACTCACTAGCTGATCGCCTAGTTGCTCATATGACTTGTTCGTCCTCAAATATGAATTTTTGATGAATTTTTCAAATTTCATGAGAAGTTTTTATGATTTATTTATTTTTAACGTCAAATTTTATACCAAAATGTGTTCACGCATTAGAAGTAAGAATGCTTGACGGTGGTGTCAATGTGATCTTTTTTCACCCAACTTTCCTCTCTAACTAAAAGAGTTGATGCAGATCAAGCCCACAAACCTGTCTAAATTCTTTATTAGGGTCACAGAGTGTTAAAACAGCACTTTTGTCCGATTTTCTCTTATCTTAAGTTTGGAAATCTATTTATTTTTAAATAGTTTATACACATATTAGCAACTGCTGTGCACCTAATAGATTTTCATAATTTGTTAATAACTTTTTTCTTTTTTGAAGAAAAAAAAAACAACATTTTGCTCGATGAGCACGTAAGACACGTACGCTCTAGGCAGTTTTGGAAGTTTGTCCGTTTGTGTTTGTCATACGCATAACGCACGTATAAAAAGCGCATACAATTGTTTCCATTGGCTTTCTTGCTTGTTTCTACAAAAATTCGTTTTAGATAACTAAATATTGATAAAAACAAGAATGTCTAGAGTATCTTGCTTACACTTGAGCAAACAAAATATGTGGTGTTATTGTTGGTTTTCTTCTACTTTATTTTTCATATAACCATTTGTTTATTTGTTGTTCTTTTATAAATTTGTGTCTTACTTCATTAGGCCTCTTCTTCTAGAATCTTATACTTATAGGCAGTTTTTGTTCGCCTATTAATTTGTGGTATTTCACCCCCAAAAATTAAGTCAGAATAAAAAATGATCTTACACATATGTACGTACATATGTATCTACATATCAAAAAAATTTTCCACATACATAATTATTAAACATAGCACATGGAGCATTTCTTCAAGCATGCTTCAATACTGAGAAATGTTGTGGAGACGTTTGTGGAAATGTACACGTTGTTTTTCCACTTTATAAAGAATTTGTAGGGGTCATTCGAAAACATGTTTTATTGATTGCAGCATAGGCTGATTGCAAACAGCCTCGTATTTTCAAAGAATTTCATAATTCCACTTCTGATTTAGGCGAAAGCATTATTTCGACATTTTTCTTCACCTTAATGTCTTCGGGGAGACATTCTGAGTTGTGCGAAGTCATTATTTTATACCCATTTTTATTAGCATTAGACACAAAGCACAATTTAAGAACCGAACGACTTGAATAATAATAACTTAACGAATTAAATTACAGTTAATTTAAATTTTAGTACGCTAGTAACTTATCCAATAATTTATTCTGTACTTAAAACTAATTTTAAGACCGAAGGCGCCACGCAAACTACAAACACCCAATAGAAGCAGTTCGCACGGTAGGAGCTCAAATTTATAGGATCTTATGAACAGGGTAACAGCAATAGAGAAAGCTGAAAATGCAAGTGTTTAAGGACTATTTGTTAAAAAAATAATAATACTATATTGCTTTACATATACACTTTCTCAGAAGGATTACTTTTATTATTGGCGTAACCCCAGTTAATTATACTCTATTGTATAATTTAAGCAGCGCAGCAGAAAATCAATTAGCAAAAGTCATTTGAACAGGAGTTTAAAATATAGGAAAAGGACTACGCCATAAGACTTCAAATGAGAATACAACAACAAAGTAAGACACGTTAGACGAAACTGAAAGGCTGGTTCAGTCAATTATCTATGTATACAAATGCCATAAAGGATCAATTTGTAAGCCGACTATTTTAAGCGTCTGTCTGAAACGTAATTAAAGACACATTTTAACGATATTTCTTAAAAATTGATAAATATTACAATAGTTTGCTAATTAGCTGAAGTCAAAACAACAGGAGGGCAGAATAAGACGAATATGCGCGCTGAAAAAGTGAAGTTTCAGGCAATGTTTTAGAAACCGCTCAACGTCCTCTAGCAAAAACAACACAATATAACAAGCAGACGTCACGTACAAGATCAGTGCACAATAGAAAAAGGATACTCATGAAATTTAATACCTCTACGAAGCATTACACTAATTAAAAAGGTCAAATGAACAGGAATTCAGCAAAACAAAATAAAGGATACATGAAATAATCCTCGATATTTAGACAGATGAATATCGAAAAATAACAACATGGTGTGCAACAAAATGAGGTTTAAGGAAAAAGTAATTAAACAACAAAAGTCTCTAATTATTTTACAAAAAGTTATCCTAATTAAACGGGTCAAACGAATAGGAAAGCAGCAAAATAGTAAATGCAAATAAAAAAGAAACACGAACTGATCTTTGAGATTATAAAGGAAAACAGCGAAAATGAAACGGTTATTTGGAATGGCAAAAATCTTTATCTACCTGTAATATAAATAAGTATTTTATTACAAAGCAAAATAGCCACACGAAAGTACAAAGACCTATTTGTCCCCTTTTTCGAATTTAAATCAAACAAAAAAAATTAGCAAGGAATGTTCATCAGTACATAAAGTGAACGTATCACAATTTTATAGTTATAAAATGCCAAAACCGTAGGTACGAGAAAGACAAAATAGAATAGTATAAAGATTTCTCGTTATCCTTTTCATAAAAATAAATTGTATATATGACTGCGATCTTTGGGTAGGAAATATCGTCGTAGACGTCTCTTTGTTCCTTATGTGTTTACTTACTGACACTTGGATTAGGATCTCAGATAATAACTACATAGCTACATTCATGGTACACAATAGTAAAACAACGTCAAAATACATTTTCGAAAAAAAATTTAAATTGTTCTTTAAACTTTTTCTTTTACAAGTCATCAAAGGAATCTAATTATAAAAGGTCAAAATAATAGGCTAACAGCCAATGCAGATGGTACAGATGTGCCTGTCGTCCTTGAAATATGTGAACGTAATCTCTTTCTAATGGAAAAACTCTAAGAGTTACCTACTTTTAATAAATTTCCAAGAACAAGCAATATAAGCCCAGACAAGGAGTATAAAGATTTCTCGGAACTCTACGTTAGGGATGCTTTGATCAGGAGAGAAGAGAATACCTGCAGAGCTTCTACTATTGTATAAAATTGCCAAAACTAGACATTTTCTACAACAAAAAATACAAAATTACAAGTTCAGATTAGTGAAAGGATTTCGCAGAATAGTTGTAGCATTACATTTTTCTTAAATGTCTACATAAGGATAGCATTTCATTGTTCTTGATTTTCCAACTCTGCTAGGGATACTTTGATCAGGAGGGCAATAATAATTGCAGAGCTACTTTCATGGTTTATAATCGCGAAAACGACTTTAATTTATCAAAAGAAACTCAATAAATTGATCTTGAAGTCTTTCTTTTATAATTAACCACAGGGGTTTTATTGTAAAAGGTCAAAATAATAGGCCCACAGCCAATGCAGATGGTACAGATGTGCGTGATGTCCTTGAAACATGTATGTTATCCATTTGTAATCAAAAAAAAACTCTAATTACTTTCTAAGAACAAGAAATACAAACTCAAATTAGAAATACAAAGATATCTCGGAATCGTTTTCACAAATATTAATTTATAAGACTACCTCCACGGGAAGATATGATAGATATTGTTGCAGTGTTTCATTGTTTTTGAGTGTATCCTGAAGGACACTTTGATCAGGAGAGCAGAGAATATCTCCAATTGTTGAAACAAGGTAGAAGTTAAACAAAGAATTTTTAAGAGCAATTCAAATTGTTTTTAATTTTTTTTTCCTTTTTCATCTCACCAGAAAGGTCTAATTATAAAGGGTCATAATACTAGGCTAACAGCCAATGCAGATGGCGATGGTGGATGTATCGTAGATCTTGAAATACATATGTATGTATTTGGAATACAAGTGTTAAAAGTTATCTTCATTTGATCTTTTTCTAAGAACTGAAGCAAAAATCTTTGAAAAGTAATCACTACTCTCAGCTCAAAATGTGTTATGTTTTCTACTATTCACTTCAAACAAATGAACATATGTGCATATAGTGAATGACCAATACTATTTAGGAGAGATATGCATTTGTGTGTTTGTGTAACTTTGAATGGTCAAATAATTATTCGCAGCAGGATACCAAGTCATATAAATAGGAATGCAGAAATTTTGAAATAGTTGCTGTATATTCAATTTTGAATTATACTTTGTTGCATTATTTTCGTATTAGAAACATTTATGAGAGTATAACGTTGAACGGACAGTCTTTAAGGAGCAAATACTTTTTTATTTGCAATAAGCAAGTGATACCAAATAATAGTTTGATTCAATACGCACTTTTCTAACTTAAATTTAAGAAAAATTAAATTAATTATTAGAACTTTAGTACTAATACTATGCAATATCTACATATTTTATTTGATGAAGAACATTTGTGTACAAACTTTCAGTCTTTTGCTAGAATTTTTTCCTCAGTTCTGTATTTCAATCTTGAATCAGGCTCTTGCACATTACATACACACTTTTCAAAGTACGAAGCAAGCGGAAAATATTCCTAAATACATATTTCACTTTTTAATAAGCAATTTCTTAATGAATAGACTTTTGCTAATATATTAAAATTAAAGGTGTAAATTTTTACAAATGTATATTTTACAAATTTTATGCGCTAATTTCAACTGTCAAACGGAAAAGGAAGATGATTGTACAGGGTGGCAATTATTGGTGGAAAAGAAATTTTATATCCAAAATGTAGACAACAATAACAGTCATTATAAAATATAAGTTTAATAAAAATAACAAATTAAACAAATTTGAAAATCATTCTATTTATATTAAACGTTATTATACTTTACCTGACTGGCGGTCGACCACTTCAAGCATTTGAGTTTATTACAATAGCTTTCCGATCGCTTCCTAATCAGAAAAAGACGGAAGTGTTGCTGTAGCGCCATTGACATTTCAACAAACGTGTTTCACTTTGGCAGCAGCAAATATTGCCAAATGAAATCATTTAATTTTGGACTTTTGTTGAGAGCGGTGGTTTTAGGGTTTTATACTTATTAATTCGAACTTAAAAGAAATTATTAAACTATTTAAGCGAAGTTTGTTACCTAGCGATTACAGTAATTATCATAAAAAAATTAGTTGCCATCATTATTGTCCAATGCACGCTCATTTGCTGACTTTTTATCTGGGCATTCGAGTGCTATATGCGGACAAAGAGTAAAAAATTTAACATATTTACCAGTGGTTGAGTGTCTTTTCAATGGCGTTAACCAAATTGAAAAATGTTAAAACAATTGAAAATATCAATGAAACGGTATTTTCGTAGTAAAGTAGAAATTGAATAAACATAATTTTGACGTGCATGGAATTTCGCTATGTGCCAAAATTTCAATGTATGCATGTGTATATAAAAGAACATATGTACATACACATATGTGCTTTATGCTGTCCAATGCACGCTCATTTGCTGACTTTTTCCTGGGCATTCGAGTGCTATTTGCGGACAAAGAGTAAAATCTGACATATTTACCAGTGACTAGCTGCTTTTTTAATAGTGCTAATCAATTTGTACATTGTTAGAACAAATTAAGCTATTAGGAAATGTGTTCATATGTACTATAATTATATGTAGCCAAATATTTATTAAATATGATGTTAACTTGAGGCTGAACTGAGCTGAGCCGCAACAAAGTCTTAATAAAACCAAATATGATTGATCATCACGAAAAAAATTATCTATTTTGTATGTATGTATGAAATTTTCTCATAATTTCCTTCATATCATGTGGGCATATATGTATGTACATATGCACGTTGGTATGTACCAACAGCATGTGTATTTATTGTGAGATTAAAGCTCGCGACGTGATCTTTATGTTATAAATAAAAACACTTCCATCAACTCACAACAGAAATGAAGATAGATAGTACCTTAGTCATTCATACAACAACAATAACCATTAATAGGAAAAATATATGTAAATGATTTACTACATTAATAACAGTGATATATAATAAGAAAATACTTATTTATAAAACTAATTAAACTATTTGTTTACATATGTATGTCCATAAGTAATATGGTAGCAACTGACATCAAGTATAACCCAAAAGTGATAATGAAAAATTAAATGTAGACTTTTGCTGTTAACTACTACATTAAGTAAATAAATAAAAAATATTGAGATGTGAATTTTAAGTCGGTTATCGTGCCGTATCGGTTTAGTTAAGAGTACCGGTTCCGCTTGCAAAAGCGAACTAGAGGGTTAATCTTTGTTGCACACTGTAAATATATATAAACATTCACACACACATATATAGATATGTATGTATATAATCATTATGCACAACGCATTCATTCCATTACATACAAGCATCTTATATACAAGCCAATCATGATCTTTTTTTCTAACACATTGACCCGAGTAGAATTAAAAAAAAAAAAGAAATAAAATAAAAAATAAAATCAATGTAAACTGCTCTTCATGGAATTTTAATTGTTTGTGTAAGATGTTGAAATAATAAAACAAACCATAAAGTGAACCAAGCCATGCAACACATCACAACACACGTACATATAGGCAGGTAGTACCTACCAAGAATTCCTATTGGTGACCAATAAACAAAGCAACTCACCCACGTTTTCCAACTGCAATCACGAAGAGAGCAATCAGTTTTAAAAGAAAAAAAGAAATGAAAAAGACGCAGGTAAGTAAAATGTCAAACAATTGTATTTGAAGCAACAAGGCACTATTTGTTGTAAGCACATATTTACACACATGCGTAAAAATGCACCATAACAAAATGCATTAGAAGGGACGGAGGTATACTGTGGCATGTTGCATGGAAGAGGGAATTCATTACCATTTGAAATGATTCAGTTGATTTCTTACGCTGTTAGCTGGTAGACAGGCAAATTGGATAGTGCTAAAGGGCGGAGCGGAACTTTTCGTTATATTTTTTTAAAACCCTTGGCTTTCAACTTTTTTTAGAAGCAACAATGAAATTCAGTGTTGCGGTAAGTAAATGTGTAGCTGCACAAATTCATAAAAATTTATCAAAACAAAAAAATAAATAAAATGTGTAAATTTCTACAAATGTATACACGCAAAGTTAATGCTTAGCATAAATATTAACAATTTCTATACATCAACAGACCCTTTGCTTACTACTTATACTCCAATGGACGCATGCGCGTCAAGAACACTTAGCAGCGCGTCATCAACTGCTCTATTTCCCTGCACTGCATGCCTATCCAGCTTATCATGTCATAAAACCACAACAAGCCCAATCAGAAACAAAGAGACCGCACAGTGAAAGCACAGAATTACCCAGTAGCAGCGGAGAAGCGTCCACATCGGTAGAAACTCAAAGCAGCACCAAAACTGTTGAGAATACCCAAAATTCAAGTAGTGCAGCGCCTAAAGCCCCTAATACGCCCGCAGTGGAGCTAGAAATTTTAACCGGCCATACCAATTACACGCCAGACGAGTTTCCACACGATTTACTAGAAATCGCACGTTCCAAGCTCGGCTTGAAGAGTCTCGATGAAGTGCCTAGCATTAGTGAATTGGCTGAGTTTCTCGGTACTGCCAATGCGGAGGAAACAATCCAATACATACGTCAAATGACAAATACCGAGCAAGGCATTGCATTGATTACAGCCTACCTTGAGTCGGCGGACTTCACCGATCGCACAGAGGAAACGCGTCACCGTCAACAAGAGCCAGCCCAAGGAAAAGTTGAAGCTGACGAAAATGCTGAAATAGCGAAAAATAAAAATAATTTCTTAGATCGTATTGCTGCATATTTCCACATCTACAATTTATGGCCGCAAAGTGGTGAGACTGACAGCGTCGAAACACGCAAAAATGTCGAGCAACAGCTGAGTAAATATATAAAACCACAATTGGAGTACAGAAAACGGTTGCATGCAGCAGCAGCTCATCATCAGCCAAACGCCATGCGACAACACAAACCAGTTTTAGTGCGTAATCCCTTGCCTTACCACTATCCGGTGCCTTTACGCCCTGTGGTAGGCAATCGTTTGACAAATAATGATGTTGTCGGTATGCCACCACAAACCGCATTTTCGCCAGTTCACTTGAACACGCCTAAATTTTACATGCCATCAACGCATCTACAACTTGCGCGCGCTACCAATATACCACCACAACAGTTGCAAACGCTGCTGCAAAGCAAACCCAAGCTCGCTGAATTGGCCGCCAAGGTAAGTCATTTGCCATTGACGAGTGATCGCTCGACGCACATTGACGCCCAACTGATGGCGGCAGTAAAACGTGCCATCGAACAAGATGAGGACTTGCGTAAATTGCTACAGAGCACAGCCGAAACGCTTAAATGATATTTTATGCCTTAAATAATAATTTTATTATGCCTAAAATAATATATATGTATTAATATTGCGGAATGTTTTTTAAATAAAAAATAATGTAAAAAATGAGTTGTGTGTATATTTTACAAACATTTTATTTGTTTTGTAATTTTATTATAATTAACACAGCTTTCTACACATTAGTAAACATATTCTTCGTGTAACGTTGCGCATTTAGTCTTTAAGAAAAAATAAGTCAAACTTTTCAAAGCACTCATACAGACGTTCACTTCAAAGAATTTAAAATGTACATAAATATTTTTTGACACGCAACTATATTCCATTGCTTAACTTAAAAATTTTTATTTTATAACTAAATTACTTATTATTGTTAATTTTGCCAATTCAAGCAAAATATTCTCGAGTCACGAAAAAGTCAATAGAGACATAAGTTAAATTTCATTACTTTTTCGTTTAGATTTATAGAAATTCATGGTGGTTGAAAGAAATCAAAGCAGTTCAGAGTTTAACAATAATTGCATTATATAAAAGCTAAGAGTAATAGCAGAGTTTGAAATACATACTGCATTGCTCCGAACACTTATATAAAACAATTAGACGTTACGAAGATCCAATTTTTTGTGCAAACAGAAAATATCGTGACGTAGGTAGATGGAAAGTAATTTGTTCAAACTATACAGAAGTTATTATACAGAAAACCCATTAATAAGAATTCATTACGGCGTACTAGTCTTCAGGAACTGCAGTGTCAGTTAAGCTTGCAATTCTGGTTCTTCGCCGCAGTTCACTCATGACTTTGAAACACCGACTAGCGCCGGTCGTATACAACGTTCATGCAATTTGTAACCCAGTTTGGTCACAACAACAATAGTGCTGGGCTCAACGTTGGGATCATCCTATAAAAAAAAAACACAAATTTTATTATTTTAAAACTGATAAACATAATAATATGCAAGCACACCTTTTCGAATAGCGCTTCATGCATATTTGGATTGAATTTTTCGTTAAGTGGATTGATTGGTTCTAAACCGTGACGTTTGAACACTTGTAAGAGTGAAGCTTTGGTCATCACTAAACCTTCGTACAAATTCTTCAAGTGTGGATTATTATCGTTGAGCTGGAAGTTTTACGATATTAAAAATAAGTAAAATGTTAAAGCTCATAGCAAAGCATATTTACCTCTTCTTTCGGCACAGCTTCGGTGGCATGTCCCAAAATATCTGCCACCTCAAGCAGATCCTTACAAAAACTTTGTATTCCAAAAACTTTTGCGTCGGCTATTTGTTTCGTCAGACGGGTACGCAGATTTTCGCTATCTGCCAATGAACGTTTATATTTATCTAATAGTTCGTCATTCTTTTCCTTAATTTCATTCACTTCCTTAGTCAACACTTCAAGTTCTTCTGAGAGTTTCTTTGTCGCTTCTGCCACAGCATTTTCTAATTGGTTAGTGCCATCCGAGTCAGATGACTGTTGTGGTTTTTGTGCTGAATTTTCCGAGCTGTAGAAACGCAACGCTGGAGTACTTAAATTAAAATTTAATACAATATATTATTAAAATGCTGGTCCACACGCAAGTACTGGCAGTATTCTATGCATAACTTAAGTAGCCTAATCATTACTTTATTACGTCACAACATTCTTATCACACCATCACACACCACACTAATGCTCTAGACTACACCGTAAATACCCAGCAACAATGCGGCTGCTGGACCGGCGCTAATATGCTTACCTTGCGCCCAACACGTTCCGACTTTTCAATGCGGCGACATAACGATTTGTAAGCCCAAACAGCGAAACGGTTTTTCTTGACATTTTCCTTTTTGTTTGCACTTTAACCTTTAATTGCGAAGCTTATATTTTACTATTATTTCCTATCGCGTTTTTAAAACACTACAAAATTTTCTTTATTTAACAGAATATTTCTTGTGCAATCCAAATCAGGCAATGAACATGTAATTTTGACAGCTTTGAAACTGTCAGTGCAATGAATTCTTGCTTAGCGTCATCTGGCGGTAAGATATGTGGGAAAATTTTGTTACATAGGCTTTGAAACTGTTTTGGGAAATCAAATGAAAAATGCGTTAACCAAGGAGGAATCAAAAAATGAATGTTCGTCAAAATAGTTAATAAATACATACAAAAAAGGAAACAAAAAAAGAAAAAGTGATTATAACAATATATTTTTGATTTCTTTTGTTTGCCTTTTCATTTTTACTAAGGTCGAAGAAGTGCAAGTTATACCAAGGCTTAAATTGACCGGAAGGAAGACTAACACTATTGCAGAGCGTTTCAAATACTTTGGTCCTTTAGAAAAATAATAATAAAGCGTTTACCAATCAACTTTAATAAGTTCAAAACCATGAGTTAGAAAAATAATTAAATCATAAATAAATAAATGAGACATTAATACAGGTGCGCCTTTGTTACACCGCTCATTAGAATTGTTGCTGGCTACTTTGTCTACCTAAACGGATCTACAGCACATTTGAATAAATCAATTTAATAAGTATGCAAACACGACTTTAAAAATGCATTTAAAACTTTTTGCATACATTGCGCATAGCTAACTGTATGTAGCATGTATATATGTACATATGTAAATGTAAACTTTCACTCCACTTAATTAATTTAACTATAAACAATATTGTATGCAGCGATTTATTCCACTTGCCGCAGGTCGTTACCAGCTGCCTTGAGTTGATTATATTCAAATAACAAAACTACCAGCAAAATCACGCCCAAACTGTGCTTGTTGGCGCTTTTGGTGAATGTCGTGCATTTGTATGCATATATATGCACTTCTTATAACGGCGAATGTTGATTGAATGCGAAAAACTGATGCGTCATCTCGAGGAGGTAAAAGGCAGCTGAAGTCGAATTCTAATGAAAAATAGTGTACTTCAACAATGCAACAGATTTTCTTCAATTTTTTCACGCATACAACATGTCTGAGAAACTATTAATCACAAAATAGATGTCTAAAGTGAAGCTATTTAGAATATTTACAGGCATAAAACTTGCGCTGGCATTGCAACTGTTCTGCCGGCATATTATTCACGGCGCCCGATTCAACCCTGCTGGTGTTTCCATGAATGTTTAAATAAAAAGTGTTGTTTTACGGCAATACAAGTGTTAAAGACTCAATTCCGATATGCCAAGGTTAAACAATTTCAATAATTAATAAATTACGCAGTTATTGTTATATTAAAGTATTTGCATGTTTGCCTACAGTGCAAAATCGTGGAACATGAAGATTTTAATTACATACATATGTACATACGTATTCGCATAGTTCCTTCTCCGCCGATAGAAATAGAGAAATCGCTCAGCTCCTTTTTCAAAGTTCAGGTAGGGAAGCACTTGACTGAAATTGGTCTCCCAAATTAATATGAGCAAAGTAGGCTTTTATGTATTTTAAAACACTCCTTAAGAGCCATAATCCTCAGGAAAGCGAGACGCTCTGACTTTTGTTCACAGTCTAGCTGCACAAAATGCACAGATCCCAGTCCATGTGAGCATATTCCTATGTATACGAAAAATTCCGGAGGTACAACTTGGTCGATTTGGTTATGGACCTTAACGCATAAATAATGTGCTACTACTCTAGTAATTATTATCATGGCTGTAGGGTTGAAGGAGAGGTAGATGCTATGGAGCACTACCTTTGTCACTATCTAGCCTCAATAACCTTGCGATATTTTTTAATCTGAGAGGATTCAGCCAAAATTACCAATCCCACGGCTTTTAAATATAAGGCCCACCAAATGGTTCACACATTTGAGAAACTGTTAGAAACCTCATAACGATATCACATAACACATATACTACATATAACAATTTTTCGGTCTCCGGCGAACTCTATCAGCTTTTGTGACGGTGTTTCACACCCTCAACGCCTTGAAAGGAGGGAGTTTCTTTCAGTTCTTATGAATTGACGCTGATCCCTAAAACCGTATATGTCTACGCAGCTCTACCAATGCTCTCTCTCTCTCTCTCTCCCTCTCTCTCTCTCTCTCTCTCTCTCTCTCTCTCTCTCTCTGTTTGCCTTAGCCCTGTTTGCGTCGCGCCTCTTGATCAACTTGGTATATTAATACAGGAAGCATTGATCTTAGGTAGATTCATGACAGGCTGAGCCGAGTATATTCTCTACTTCCTTACCACAAAACTGCAGTTTTGCCAATTTCCTAACGGTAACCCATGTGCATCTCATTTTATTTCACGTTAAAGTTAAAAATATTCACCGAAGCAAATGCATTTAGTGTCGCTCCTTAAAATATAAACCGAAACGAATTGAAGCAGAAGCCACCTAAACGACAGTTAAAATGCTACGATTGCCACCAGCAACAACAAACGGGTGAAATGGAGCACATAATGTATGCGTGTATGTAGACAGATGAATTGCGCATTTGTATGTGATTTCTAAAATTTTACATATACTACATAGAAAATTCGAACAACAGGTGAGCAAAGCTTTAAATGCATACATACATACTTGACAAATTATGAGTTCGAGGCATACATAAATATTTGCTGATCGCCACTGACGCATATAGTGTGATCATTCGAATAGCAGGAGCTGGTTGGTGGCTTGCTACATATAAATAAGTACATACATATATACTACAACACAAATTCAAGATCAAAATTGCAAACATCAGGTAAAACTATTGTAAAAATTTAAACTGAAACTGAAATGAAATCCAAAAACTTGTCGACGTCGGCGCTGCATGAGTTGAATGGTGTTGTTGTTACATGTAGAGCGGGGTAACGGCTGAGGAAAGAGGTGATGTTGTATTGTTGCACGAGGATATGGTGTTGGAGGTGAGCAGCAGCGGCAGCAGTAGCAGCAGCAGCAGCGGCAGCGGCATCAGTGGAAATGTTGTTGGCATTGTTGATTGTTCACTGTTGTTGCTTTGCTTTGTTGTTGCTGCGGCGGTCGCTTGAGTATCGTTGTTGCTGTTGTGTTTTCAGACACTGCATTGTTGTTGCGCCATTTGCTTTTGTTATTTACTATTAATGGAGCTTTTGTATTTGTTGGTGTTGCTGTTGTTTTCCTTGTTGTTGCTGTTGTTGCTGTTGTTGCTGTTGTACTATCTGTTGCTGCCGATCAAGCGCTGTTTATTGTGCTCATTGCTAATGCGCTTATTGTTATTCGTAAATTTTTTTTCACTATTTTTTTTATTGTTGTTGTTCTTGTTATTGCCTTCATTGTTGTTATTGTAACTATTTGCCGCGGCCATTGCCGTGTTGCTACGAGCATGTATGTACATATCCATGTGTATAAATACATATATTGCTGCCGCTGCGCGTACAAGATCACTTCTCAAGTAGAAAGAAACAAAAAAAAAAAAATTGTGTATGAAAAAGTAAGAAAAAATTAAAAAAAAAAAAAAAAAAACCTAAAGTAAAAACAAATAAATTGAGAAAATGTAAATAATTTTTGTGCTGAAATCAGAATTTTCACAAACGCGCGCTGTATATATGTATAAAATATGGCTTTATATGCATATATGTATGTATGTATAGATATAACGTACATGTATGTACATATATTTTTACATACATAAATAAGCGATCTCAACACGGCATTGTTGCTGATCACCGCTTGCTTGCTTGCTATGGCTACTGCCGCTAACAGCATTGTTGTTGGTGCTATTGCTGCTCTGGCTACCGCTGTTCTCGCGCTGTTGCTACAAAATTCTACAATTTTGGTGTTAAACTAAACAGATTTATGCATCGAACGCATCAGTACTAATTTGACTTTAACAACGTTCAGTTGTAGTTCATCAATCACCGTTAAATAAAAATTGATTTTTTTCGTTTTTCTGCAAATCTTTCGGAATTAAAAAAAAATCGAGTATTGAAATTTACGCTCAACCAAGCAAGGTTTACATAAATCAATAATACGCGCATACAAAATACATACATACATACATACATGGACTTCCTGCACGGCAGTTGAGAGTGTGGAAAAATTGGAATTTTCGATTAAATAAAATAAAAGACACGAAAAATAGATTCTGTATTGAAAACAAAAGTGTTTGAGAATTCATGAAATTCAGCAAAAAAAAATAAAATAAAATTAAATTAAATAAAAAATAAGTGAAAGAAAAAAAAAAAAAAAAATAGTTAAAGCTGCCAAACAGTGAATTAAAGCAGGGTCAGCTTATATCTGCACATGGCGACTGCGTACATGTGCACTTAGAATATTTGGATGCCATATATAAAGCAAGAAGTAAACATAGTTTCTCCACGGTGAATGTCATATGTGGAAGTGCATAAAAATAAGTTAAACTGTGTGATATTGAAAACTTAGAATTTTATAAATAAAAAAAATTCACAAAAATATTTCCTCTCACGGAAAACTTTTTTACACATAAACAATATTTTCCACAAAAATTTTGGTTTTTTTTTTCATTAAAAAAAAAAAAACAATAAAATAACGCATTTTCATAGTTTTCATCGAAGTGTTTCAATTTTTGCCGTATAATTACACTTAAACCAATTTAATTTCAATAAACAATTTTGTAAACAAATCTGCATTCACTTCAACGCAAATTCGTCTACATCATCACCCATCACGCACACACACACAGCGCCAGCGGCATTTAATCGGAAATTTATTATAAACAAATAATTTAATAAGACGAAAATGCGGGAGGAAGATCTTATTATGGCACGTGCTTTGGTCGCTGAACAGGCCGCAGCTGCCGCCGCTGCAGCAGCCGAGTCATCGGCAACATTGCTGAGTTCGGCACAGCCATCGCCTGGCGCTTCGCCAGAACCTTTGCGACGTACACGTGTTGCCGATTTGATTGAGAAACGGAATCAATTCAGGTAAGATGATAATTTGAGGGCGAAATAATGTTAATGGATAAAAATTAGTTTTATTAAAAAATTATTTTTATGATAAAAAAAATTTCCTCTTAAAATCAGA